TTGGTCAATGACATGAGACAAAGTATATGTGAACTGCTGTATGAAAAGTGAATTTACTCTGTAAATCTTCACCCAAATCCTAAAAAAAAAAGAAGAGCCAGGAGTGAAGCGCGTTCTTGAACCTGAGATCCCTGTGCTGAGATGCAGGAGAGGCAACAGAACCAAGAGACCGGCATGAGACAGAGCAGAAGCCTTCCTGGCCTTTGACTGAGAATGCTGAGTGCCTCTGGGCAGGAGGCTTGCTGGTGGAGTGGGGTGCCTCTCAGGGCACCTATCAACAAAGCTAAAAGGGCAGTGTAACACTTGCCAGAGAAGAGCTGAGGTCAGGTCAAGGAGACAAAGGCCAAAGAGAGGCGTGCCTATGGGCATGGCTGAGGGGAGGCTGCCCCGACTGAAGAATTGTATCCTGACTATTCCTGAACCTGAATTGTAACCGGTTACTTCCCTAATAAGCCCATAATTGTGAAGATTGTCTGTGAGTTCTGTGTGGCCAATGCAACGAATTATGGAACCCAGCAGAGAGGAGAGTGCTGTGGAAGGGACGGTTGGTGTCAGAATTGGTGACCAGGTTGGAAGGTGGCAGCGTGTCTGACCTCCACCTCAGAGGAATCAGCCTTGGCCCACAGACCTGATTCTGGGTCCTCCCTCCCCCTTGTGAAGTTAGAGGCAGTCAGAGGACGCCACCCAATGCTGCTTTTGTAAACCCAAATGTCCATCAACACATGAATGAATAAACAGAATGCGGTCCATCCACACAACGGACTATTCAGCCATAAAGAGAAATGAAGTCCTGACACACTCTACAACAGGGACGAACCTTGAAAACATCACGCTGAGAGAAATCAGTCCGTCACAAAAGGACAAATGTGCATAACCTCACTTATGTGAAATAAGCAAATGCACAGAAAGCAAACATGATGAATGATTACCAGGGGTCAGAAGGGAAGCTTTTGCTTACAGGGCTTTGAGTTTATGTTACTGGTGGTGGAATGACTTGGAAAAGGCCAACAAGAATGGTTACATAACCAGAGCAAAGACAAATGAAGAAAAGCAAAGACACACAGAAACAATTAGTCCTAGTGACTGGTACACCATGTGATCCTCAGCCTATATGACTATGAGAGCAGAATAATTAGATGGTGCCTGGCTACCACTGTCAAACACTTGAAGGAGGATCTACGTGGGAGATCCTGGAAGAGTGGAAGAACAATGTGGAAAAAAACTCAAAATCATTGGGAAAAAAAAGGGACCAGGTTTGCTGGTCTGATAGAGCCTGGTGGAACCCCTGAGACTATGGCCTCTAGATACTCTTCAGGTCTGGAATGGAACTCACTCCTGTAGCTTCTAGCCAAATAACAGACAGGTGTATAGAGTGAATTATACCAGGTAGATACACTCCTTGGAGAGATCAATCATGGGAGAACAGAAGGGCAGTGTTTGCACAGGGAGACGGCTCAGGGGGCAGGACTACATGGGAGGAACAGACACAGGGAAGAGGTAACCATGGGGAGGAAGTGGGAAGAGAGCTGTCACACTGTGGGGAATTGCCGTCAATGTCATGAAACAAGATGTGTATGAACTGCTGTGTGGAAAACGAATTTGCTCTGTAAACTTTCACCCAAATCACAATAATAATAAAAAAGCATGGTTACATAACTGGAAGAATGTAACTAATGTCACTGAAGTGCACATGTAGAAACTCTTGAGATGGTGTGTTTTGTTATGTGTATTTCCACCACCATAAGAGGAAAAAAAAAAATAACCACAAGCTCTCACACCCACCAGGACAGCTGTAAGAAAAAATGAAGAATAACAAGTCGTGACAAGAAGGTGAGAGAATGGAACCCTTGTCCACCAGTGAGGCATCATAAGGGGCGGTGGGGCTCACCTGTGGTTTCCAGCCAAACAAAGTACAGGCAAGTGAGTTAAACATTTACCTCAAGTAGACACATGCCCTGGAGAGAACAATCATGGGAGAAGGAAGGGCTGCTTATGCACAGGGAGACAGCTCAGGGCGCAGAAGAGTATGGAGGGATGGACACTGGGAAGAGGTAACTATGGGGAGGAAGTGGGAGGGGAGCTGTTGCATTGTAAATTTTGGTCAATGACATGAGACAAAGTATATGTGAACTGTTGTACGAAAAGTGAATTTACTCTGTAAATCTTCACCCAAATCAAAATAAAATTAAAAAAAAAAAAAAAGAGGGGGTGGGGCTGGCTCATGACGGCTTAGCCCTGAGCTTCAGCACAGATGTGGGGAATGGCAGACTTTAGGTGCAGGTCTGGCATGAGACAGAATGGCAAGGTAAGGGGTGGATATAAAAGGCTGCTCTGGTGGCATAGTGCCTAAGGCATGTGACTGCCAAGCAGAAGGTTGGCAGTTCAAACCCACCAGGCACTCCTTGGAAGGCTGGGCAATCTATTTCTGTAATGATACCGCCTTGGAAATGCAAGGAGGGGTTGCTATGTCCGGGTCCGACTCGACAGCTGTGAGTTTGATTGGTTTGGTATTCTGATGGATGAAAATGAGAAAACCTGACAATGAGTAAATAATACAGGGGAGTGTGCATTGGGGGGCGTCTGTCTGTCTGTCTGGGTATATATTGATTGCTGCTGTTGAGCCGATTGCATCTCACGGCGACCCCACAGGTGCTGTGACCTTTCAGGAGTAGATCGCCAGTCCCGTTTCCCAAAGTGCCTCCGGGTGGGTTCAAACCGCCAACCTTCTGGCTAATAGTCAAGCACTTCATCGTCTACTCCAGCCAGGGACTCCTGTCAAGCTGTGACAGACATCATATTGTTGGACAGAAACCAGGAGAGCCTTTCTCTGTCTCTTTTGATCTCACACACGCTTTTAATAAGTATTTTTTCTCTTCCAATAAACATGAAAATAAAAAGGCAGAAATGTTCCTTAAAGGCATCAAATATTTCGTAAAGGCTCAAAACCCACAGGTACTGTGTTTGTGGAAGAAATTCTTATTGTGGAGGTGTGTTTTAGTTAAAAAAAACCAAGCTTGATGAACCTTGAACACATTACCAAACCGACCGTCACTGAACTGATTCTGACCCCCAGGGACCTGTGTACATCAGTGTTCCAGCTCCGTAGGGTTCTCAGTGGCTGACTTTTCTGACACAGATCACCAGAACTTCCTTCCAAGGCGCCTCTGGGTGACCTGAGTCTCTAACCTCTCGGTTTGTACCACACAGGGCCTCTGTTTTCACACTAGTCAAGACCCAAAAGTCTCCCAAAAACGAGGAAGACTAGAGACCAGAGTACCACTTCACGGTCAGACACCCGGAGAGTCACAGGAAGAAGCTTCCAGAAGCAGGTGTTGTCAGTTGCTGGCGAGTGCACCCCAATGCACAGCAGCCCTGTGTGTGCAGAGTACAGCTGCTCCACAGGGTTTTTAAGGCTGTAACCTTTTGGAAATCAATCTTCTTATTCTACCTTAGTCTGGGAGCTCTGCCAAAACCTGTTCCACGTCCCAGCCACCCACAAGCTCCACAGACATATGGGAGGTGGTTGTACATGACGTGCACTGGCCAGGAATCAAACCCTGCATGGAAGGTGAGAAATGCTCCACTGAACCACCACTGCCCCACGGACTTGCCTATTCTAGGTATTTATATAACCCCTCATTTTGTTTTAAGGAGCTCTCCTGGTGCTGTGGTTAAGGCATTTGGTTGATAACCAAGAGATGGGCGGTTTGAACCCACCAGCCACTCCATGGAAAAAAGACGAAGCAGTCTACTTCTGTAAAGATTTACCGCCTTGGAAACCCTATGGGGCAGCTCTACTCTGTCCTGTAGAGTCTCTATGAGTCAGAATCCACTAGATGGTGGCGGCAGTGGGCCCACTTTCTTTTCTAAGGCTCACGACTCTCTGATTCAGCCAAGCTGGAGCTCAGACAGCTCGGGAGTCTCTCTCCCCTCCCCACTGCTGTGAGCTCCTCCCCCTACAAATGTCCCTGTTCCCTTCTCCTCTCTTACTGTGTTGTTTTCAGTTGCCATGGAGTAGATTCCAGTGCATGGCGACCCCATGTGTGCAGAGCAGAACTGCTACATAGGGTTTTCATGGCCATGACCTTCCACCAGGTCTGTTCTGAGGCATCTCTGAGTAGGTTCAAGCTGCCAACTTTTCAACTAGTTCAAGGGCTTAACCAGGATGCCTACTCAGTTACTAGAATTCTTTGGAGTATTAAGCCATCCTGACCTGGTTTAACATTAACTATTGTTGTTGTTATGTGCCATCGAGTCGGCCCCAACTCATAGCGACCCCTTCTTGGGTTTCCGAGGCAGTATCACTACGGAAGTAGATTGCCCCATCTTCCTTCCGAGGAGTGGCTGGTGGGTTTGGACCGCCAGCCTTCTGGTTAGCAGTCAAGTGCCTTAGCCACTATGCCACCAGAGCTCCTTAACATTAACTAGTAGCAGTCAATGTGACTCTGACTCACAGCGACCCCATGTGTGTCATGGTTTTTAGTGGCTGATTTTCAGAAATAACATCACCAGGCCTTAGACTCAAACCTGCAGCCTTTCAGTTAGGATCTAAGTGTGAGCATATGTGTACCACCTGGGGGCTGTTTTAACACTGTCCGGTGCACATTTCCCTTTGACTGACTTGGTTAGTGTTTACAGAGCGGCGCCAGGCAGAGGGTGGGCACAGTGGCCCAGACTCACCCATGACCTCCAGCTGCACGTGCATGAAGCTCTCGGCCTCGTCCTGGAGCGTGCTGTGTGCCCGCAATGGCACCGGCAGGAATCCATACACCTCCTTGTTGCAGACGTACATCTGTACCTCTAGAGCCAAGGACACAACAAGGAAAAATTAGAACAAAGACTCAGCCAAAAAGCAAGGAGGCCACAGGGGCAGGGACAGCATCACAGCCTGGCAAAGGGCAGGGGGCAGGGGTGCAGCAGTACATCAGCTGGCAGAGACCCCTTGGCATTCCACTGGGGACTGTGGCCGGAACAAAGCCTCACATTCAAGTGGACAACCAGGCATGCCCGGCACTCCCCACTGCCCATCGAGAGGGTAAGAAGCCACAAATATATGAAATGTCATTGGATGATACAAGAGAAGACTCTGAAGCTATCAAAAAGTGCTCTGTGCTGTTCCAGTGCCAGTAAGTCCACAAAAAGTTGTTCAAGGTTGTTAGTCATTGTTGTTAGGTGCCACTGGGTCAGTTCTAAGCAACCCTCTGCAGAACAGAACAAAACACTGCTGGTCCTGTACTGTCCTCACAATCCTTGCCACGTTGGAGCCCACTATGGGAGCCACCATGTCAATCCATCTCATTGAGGGTCTTCCTCTTTTTTGTTGACCCTCTATTTTACCAGGCATGATCTCCTTCTCCAGGGACAGGTCCCTCCTGATAACATGTCCAAAGTAAGTGAAACGAAGTCTGGCCATTCTCCCTTCTAAGGAGCATCCTGGCTGGACTTCTTCCAGGACAGATTTGTCAGTTCTTCCGACAGTCCATGGTACTTTCAGTATTCTTTGACAATTCCACAACTCAAAAGCATCAACTCTTCTTCGGATTTCCTTATTCATTGTCCATCTACACACATTTGAGGCAAGTGAAAATGCCATGCTTAGGTCAGGCGCACCTTAGTCTTCAAAGTGACATCTTTGCTTTTTAACATTTTCAAGAGGTCTTTTGCAGCAGACCTGCCTAATACAATACGTCATTTGATTTCTTGACTGCTCCTTCCATGGGAATGTGGATCCAAGTAATGTTAGTCATTAAAACCCACTGCCATTGAGTCGCTTCCGACTCGTAGTGATGCCACTGGACAGGATAGACCTTCCAAGGCTGCAAATCTTTACAGAAGCAGATTGCCCCATCTTTCTTCCATGACTGATGGGTTTGAACCACTGACCTTTTGGTTAGCAGCTCAATGCTTTAACCACAGTGCCACCTTTTTTTAGTCATTAAGGAAATGCAAATCAAAGCCAGAATGAGATACCACTTCAAAGTCACCAAACTCAAAACCAGTTACTATCCAGTAGGATTCTGACTCTTGGTGACTGCACGTGTGTCAGAGTGGCACATGCTCCACGGGGTTTTCAAGGCTGGTTTTCTGGAAACAGATCATCAGGCCCTTCTTCCAAGGCACCTCTGGGTAGGTCTGGACATCTAACCTTCTGGTTACTAATCAAGCACATAACTGTGTGCACTACTAAGGAATTCCTTCACATCACCTAGGATGTCTACTATCAGAAAAATGGGTAACAACAAGTGTTGGTGATTATGGGGAGAAATGGGACCCTTCAACCATTGCCAGTGGGAATGCAAGATGGTGCAGCCACCATGGAAACAGTTGGGCAGCCCCTCAAAAAGTTAAACACAGAATTACCACATGACTCAGTAACCCCAATCGTAGTATCCCCAAGAGCTTGAAGCAGAAGCTTAGACACATATGCATACATCAATGTTCACTGTAGCGTTGTTCACAAGAGCGAAAAGGTGCAAACAACCCAAGTGTCCATCAACAGGTGAATGGCTAACAGACAGGTACATAAGGTGAACATTTATACCAGAGAGGTTCACTCCTTAGAACAATCAACTGTGGGAGAGCAGAAGGGCAGCATTTGCATGGGGAGATAGCTCAGGGAGCAGGAATTCATAGGAAAGAAGGGCACAGGGAAAGGGTCACCATGGGGAGGAAGTGGGAAGAGAGCTGCTACACTGTGGGGACTGCAATCAGCATCGTTAAACAAAATGTGTGCGAACTGTTGAATGGAAAACGAATTTGCTCAGCACACTTTCACCCAAATCACAATCTAAAAAATAATAAATAAATAAATAACCTTAGATTATAAAAAACAAACAGATGAATGGATAAACATAATGTGGGCCATTCATAAAATGCAATGTCCGTCAGCCATAAAGACAAATAAGTTATGCACACCACCACATGGATGAACCTTAAAACCATGATGGTGTGCGAAAGCAGTCAGTCACAAAAGGACAAATATTTTGTAATCTCACTCATATGAAGTATCTTGAATAGGCAGGTGTACAGAGATTGGTTCCCAAGGGCTAGGGCAGGGGCGAGGGGGAGACACTGCTTAGTGGGCGCTGAGCATCTGTTCAGGGTGATGGGACTTTGGAAATGGAGGGTGCTGATGGTTGTACAAACAGGGCGAACGTAATTAACACCACTGAATTGTAAATGTAAAAAATGTTGAAATGGTATGTTTTGTGACATGCATATTTACCACAATAAAAAAAGATATATATATTAAAAAATTTTTAAAACAAAGAGATAAAGCCCACAGGTGAAGTATGTCATTCCACCTCTTATCACTAGAGGGAGCCAGAGAGGCAGGAAAGGTGGGGAGGGTGTGGGACAGGCCTGAGCACCACGCAAACCTCCGGTTTAGAATAAATGTCCAGTCAGCATGTGGCTGTGTGACCTTTCTTGTCTATATTCTTTTCCTGATTATATAATAAATACACATGCAACTGTAAAAAACCTGGAGTATAGCTAAGTATTGAGATAAAGATAACTTTCAATAAAATGAAAAATAAAAACTTGCCATGGAGTCGATTCCACCTCATGGCGATCCTACATGTCACAGAGTAAAACTGTTCCAGAGAGTTTTCTTGGCTGTAATCTTCACGGAAGCAGATCGCCTGGTCTTACTTCCACAGTGCCACTGGGTGAGTTTGAACCTGCTACCTTTAGGTTAGTGTTGTTGCAGTTGTTAGGTGCTGTCGAGTTGGCTCTGACTCATAGTGACCCTGTGCACAACAGAATGAAACACTGCTGGCCCTGTGCCAGCCTCACAGTCCTTGTTACACCTGAGCCCATCATTGCAGCCGCTGTGTCAGTCCATCTCCTTGAGGGTCTTGCCTGCTTTCACTGACCCTCCACTTTACCAAGCATGATGTCCTTCTCCAAGGAATGGTCCTTTCTGACAACATGACCAAAGTAGATGAGACGAAGTCTGGCCATTCTTGCTTCCAAGGAGCATTGTGTCTGCACTTCTTCCAGGACAGATTTGTTAGTTCTGGCAGTCCATGGTACTTTCAGTATTCTGTGCCAACACCACAACTCAAAAGCATCAACTCTTCTTCGGTCTTCCCTATTCATTGTCCAGCTCTCACATGCATACAAGGCGATTGGAAATACCATGGCTTTCAAGTGCTGAGGAGCAAGGATGTCTCCTTGAGGACTAAGGTGCGCCTGACACAAGCCATGATTATTTTCACATGCGTATGAGGCTACTGAAAATGCCATGGCTTGGTTTAGGCACACCTTAGTCTTCAAGGAGACATCTTTGCTCGTTAGCACTTGAAAGGTCTTTTGCAGCAGATTTGCCCAGTGCAATACATCATCTAATTTCTTAACTGCTGCTTCCACTGGTGTTGATTGTGGAACAAAGTAATGTGAAATCTTTAACAACTTCAATCTTTTCTCCATTTATTGTGATGCTGCTTATAGGTCCAGTTGTGAAGATTTTCGTTTTCTTTAGGTAAAGTGTAATCCACACTGCAGACTATAGTCTTTAATCTTCATCATAAGTGCTTCAAGTCATCCTCACTTTCAGCAAGCAAAGTTCTGTCGTCTGTGTATCGCAGGTTGTTAATGAGTCTTCCTCCTGATGTCACGTTCTTCTTCATACAGGCTAGCTTCCAGATTTTTTGCTTAGCATACAAATTGGATAAGTATGGTGAAAGGATACAACCCCAATACACTCCCTTCCTGATTTTAAACTATGCAGTATCTCTTTGCTCTGTTCAAATGGCAGCCTCCTGGTCTGTGTATAGGTTCCTTATGAGCACAATTAAGTGTTCTGGATTCCCAATCTTCTCAATGTTATCCATAATTTCTTATGATCCACACAGTTGAATGTTTTTGCAGAGTCAATAAAACACAGGTAAAGATCTTTCTGGTATTCTTTGCTTTCAGCCAAGACCCATCTGACACCAGCAATGACATCCCTTGCTCCACATCCTCTTCTGAGGCCAGCTTTCCTGGGCATTCTCTGCCAACATACCACTGCGACCATTTTTGCATTATTTTCAGCAAGGTTTTGCTTGCGTGTGATATTGATATTGCTCAATAATTTTCACATTCTGTGGGATCATCTTTGTTTGGAATGGGGTGGGATATAATCAAGGTCTTATTTTGGCTCTCATGGACTTGTTTTAATTGTCTTCATCTTGAACTTGCATACAAGCAAGTGATAGTCTGTTTCATAGTCAGCTCCTGGACTTGTTTCGGCTGAAGATATTGACCTTTTCCTCACCTATTTCCACAGATGTAGTCAATCTGATTCCTATGTATTCCACTTGGAAAGGTCCACGTGTACAGCCACCACTTATGTTGTTGAAAAAAGGTATTTGCAATGAGTAAGTTGCTAGTCCTGCAAAATTCTATCATGAGATCTCCAGCATCATTTCTATCACCAGGCCATATTTTCCAACTACTGGTGATTCTTCTTTGTTTCCAACTTTTGCTTTCCAATCACCAGTAATAATCAATACATCTTGATTGCATGTTCAGTCAATTTCAGACTGCAGAAGTTGGTAAAAATGTTCAATTTCCTCATCTTTGGCTTTGGGGGTTGGTGAGTAAATTTGAATAATAGTAGTATTAACTGGTCTTCCTTGTAGGCATATGGATATTATCCTATCACTGACAGCACTGTACCTCAGGATAGATTTTGAAACATGTTTCATGATGATGAATGCCACACTAGTCCTCTTCAATTTGTCATTCCCAGCGCAGTAGTTAAGGTTGTATGTCAACTTGGCTGGGCCTGGTTGAGTGGCTGGGCAGCTGGTGGTAGTTATTCCCCATGATGAGACTGGCAATCAACTCCATGGTGGGATCTACAACAAACAAGCAGCTGAGTAGCTGCTTTAGGGATGTGGTCTGCTCCCCATATGTAACAATCAGCTTTGGGAATGGTCTCCAGCTTATGGGACGCTTGAATCCTGAATGTAGCCAAGTTGTTGTTCAGGAGCCTGCCGTGCTCAGCCGAACTTGGGACTTTCAATGGACTTGAATCAATGGCCTGCCGTGTTGTTTGGTAACACTGGGACTGTGCCTTTTCACTTGTCAACCTTGGGCTTCTCAGCCTCAGCAGCCAGCGGCTGTCTGAGTGAAGAAAAGCCTCCAGCTCCAGTGGGCCAGGAACAGGAGGCAGAGCTGAAGCTCAAGATTGAGGGGCTTTCACCCATCCCCTAGAACCTGGCACTTTGAACTCAGACTTAAGCCTCCAACCTGTAAGAGAATAAACTCGTGTTTGTTAAAGCATCCCATTTGTGGTGTATCTTGTGTTAGAGCGGCACTGGGTAACCAGAACACCCAGCACAGTAGATCATATGGTTGTGATTCAAAATGGCCAAATCCAGTCCATTTCAGCTCACTAATGCCTAGCTCAAGGAGCTCTAGTGGCGTAGTGCCTAAGGCACTTGACCGTTAACCAGAAGACTGGAGGTTCAAACCCACCAGCCGCTCCTCGGAAGGAAGATTGGGCAATCTACTTCCGTAGTGATACTGCCTTGGAAAGCAAAGAAGGGGTCACTATGAGTCAGGTCTGACTTGATGGCACATAACAACAACAACAATGCCTAGCTCACTAATATCTTGACGCGTTCCATTTCATTTTGGACAACTTCTAATTTTCCTAGATTCATATTTCGTACATTCTATGTTCTGATTATGATTGGATATCTGAAGCTGTTTCTTCCCATTTTGAGTCGTGCCACATCAGCAAATGGAAGTCCTGAAAGCTTTACTCCATCCACATCATTCAGGTCGACTGCTTTGAGGCAGCTCTTCCCCAGTGGTATTTTGAGCACCTTCCGACCTGAGGGGCTCATCTTCCAGCACTGTATCAGACAACGTTTCAGGGCTACTCATAAAGTTTTCAGTAATATATCAGTGTTCCACTGCTATTCATAAGGTTTTTTTAAAAAAAATTTATTGTGATATGGGTGATATTCTTAAAGTTTTCACTGGCCAATTCTTTGAGAAGCGGATGGCCCCTTCCTTCTTCCAAGTCTGTCTTAGTCTAGAAGCTCTACTGGTGACCCTGATGGTAATTAAAACACCAGTGGCATAGCCTCCAGCTTCACAGTAACACACAAGCCACAACAGTACGACACACTAACAGACAAGTGGTTAGGTTAATAGTCAACTGTAAACCATGTGTGTCACCCAAGGACCTTAACCCTCAATAAAGGGGTACTTCTGTACTGATACTGCCTTGAAAACCCAAGGAGGGGTCACTATGAGTCGGATCCGACTTGACAGCAGTGGGCTTAAGGAGCTATAGAGTGAAGTCAACCCACAAAGCCAGGGCCAGAGAGAGCCTGAGTCCTGGTGACATCATCTGAACACCTGGACACAGCCATGCCAGAAGCCAACCCCCACCCAACACTTTTGGTTCTGTGAGCTCTGTTTGGACTTGCTCCATGAGGACCTCAAAGAACCAATCAGATGCTCCTATCCCATGCACTCACCTGCCTGCTTGCAGGAGAAGGCAAAGACGATGATGTCATCGAAGGACCAGGTGTAGTCGGGATGAGGCGGGTAAAAGGCCAGGTTCTTGGAGGCCGCCTTCCGCAGGTCGATCAGGAAGGTCGAGTGCACCATGGGCACAGGGAAGCAGCCCCGGCGGTCCCGTTTGCGGATGGGGATGTAGGCAGGTGTGCGTTTGTAGTAGCCCTGGCAGGGGAGCAGAGACCTGAGTGGGGGTCCCTGGAGGTGAGGCTGGAACCTGGGAGGTGGGACCCATGGAACAGCCGAGAAAGAGAGAACCAGATGCCAGCCATGGTGTGTACCCTGAGCACGGGGCTCTGAGCTGGGTCAGGCGTGGTCTCTACCCCTCAGAGACTCAGCAGGGCAATCACAGGAAAACAAAGGGAAATAAATGGTCAGCCCTCTGCAGTCCCAGCTGTTATGAGTTGGAGTCCTAAGCCCTACACCTGTGCAGGAGTCCCTGGGTGGTGCGAATGGCTACTAGCCAGAAGGTTGGCAGTTCAAACACACCCCAAGATGCCTCGGGAGGCAGGCCTGTGATCTGCTGCTGCAAGGTCACAGCCTTGACAACTCTTTGGAGCAGCTCTACTCTGCACACATGGCAAGGCCAGGAGTCAGAATCAACTTGCAGACAATATATCTGTGGATGGGACCCTATTTGGGAACATGGCTTTCTTTGTTATGTTAATGAGGCCATAGCATGTGTGGTGGTTATGCTTGTGTGTCAATTTGTCTGGGCCTGGTTGAGTGGCTGGGCAGCTGTTGGTAGTTGTTCCCCATGACGAGACTCGCAATCACCTCCATGGTGGGATCTACCACAAGCAGCTGAGTAGCCACTTTGGGTATGTGGTCTGCTTCTCTCGTATATAAGCAGCAGCTTTGGGAATGGTCTCTAGCCTATGGCACACTTGGACCCTACGTGTAGCTGTGTCGTTGTTCAGCAGCCTCCCATGCTCTGCCGACCTTGGGACTTAGGATGGACTTCAATTAATGGCCTGCTGTGTGGCTTGGTAACATCGGGACTGTGCCTTTTTTACATGTCAACCTTAGGCTTCTCAACCTCAGCAGCCAGCAGCTGTCTGAGTGAAGAAACACCTCTAGCTCCAGTGGGCTGAGAGCAGGAGGCGGAGCTGGACCCCAAGGTTGAGGAGCTTTCAACTAGCCCCTAGAGCCTGGCACTTTGAACTTGGACTTAAAGCCTCCAAACTGTAAATAAACTCCTGCTTGTTAAGGCCATCCCATTTGTGGTATATTTCTTGTCAGAGAGGCACTAGGGAACCAGAACAGCATGTAAGGTGGGTCTTAAGCCCGTCACCTTTAAGTTATAAGGAGCATGTGAGCCACAGAAGCTGGCAGACAGTAAGCGACACTATCTGAGGAGAAGGGAGGCCAACCGGTCTCAAGCCCAGGACCCACAGGGAACGTTAGCTAGTGAGGCTGCAACAAGGACCTCCCCCAGAGACTCTTAGTGGTTACCAGGGGTAGGAGGGAGGGGAAAGGGGAAGCGTTTGTTGTGGGGGCACTGAGTTCATGCTAATCGTGGTGGATATTTTGGAGAAGGATGGCAATAATCGCAGCACAACACGAAAAATGTTATCAGTGTTCCAGAGCTGTAAACATGGAAGCTGCTGGAGATGTCTTGTTGTGTATGTTTTCACCACAACAAAAGTGCAAAAAAACAAAAAAGAAAAAGAAACTGAACATCAGGAGTATGACTGCAAGAACGATACTGGGAGCTGAACTGTGTCCCCAAAGTGACGTGTCCATGTTCTAACCCCCAGAGCCTGCCAATGTGACCTCATTTGGAAACAGGATCTTTGCAGATGTAAATCAACAGGTGGTCCGAGTGGGTATATGTGTGGCGGGTGTCCTAAACATAATCTCCTCTGTGGCGTCTTATAAAAAATAACAGAACAGGCACAGAGACACACGCAGGGGGAAGACAGGTACCACATGAAGGTACAGCCATAAGCAACCAAGGAATGCCAAGAGACGCTCGGGGCTACAGACGTGGAAAGAGAGAGAGAAAGCATGGTCCCACCAACATCCTGAAGCCAGACTGCCAGCCTCCAGACTGACTTCTGTTCTTTAAAGCCACCACTGTGGTATTTTGCTGAGAGAGCCCCAGGAGACCAAGATACAGAGGACGACCAGACACGAGTCGACACTGGGCTGTTCAAGGATTGCTGTTGTTAGGTGTCATCTAATAGCTTCTAACTCACAGCGACCCCAGGCACAAAGGTGGGAGCGCTGCTCAATTTATGGTGCCTTGCAGGTCAGATAGGTTGCCCTGGTGGTGTGGTGCCTAAGGCACTTGACTGCTCACCAGAAGGCTGACGGTTCAAACTCACCAGCCACTCCTCAGAAGGAAGGTTGGGCAATCTACTTCCGTAGTGATACCGCCTCGGAAACCCAAGGAGGGGTCGCTATGAGTCGGGTCCGACTCGACGGCAGTGAGTAGCAGTCAGATCATTGTGATCTGGAGGGTTTTCATTGGCTGATACTCAGAAGTAGATCCCCAGGGCTTTCTCCCTCCTGTCCCAGTCAGCAAGCTCTGCTCAAACCTGCTGAGCAGCCTAGCAACATGCAAGCCTCCAACAACTAAAAGGTCTCCCACGTGGAGGGGAAAATCCTACCACTGATCCACCACCACCTCATGCTTAGGGTGATGGTGTCTGTGAACTGCTCATCTCGAGGTGGTGTGCTAATGAGTCAAACTCCAGCCACAGCACCCAGGCCCCCCACCCTCGTCCCACAGCCCCCTCACCTGGGAGGTCATGCCACACCAGAAGTTGGAGTATGCGGCCCGTGAGTCCAACATGGGGGCCACCACTGTCTTGTTCTCAGCAATGAGCAGGGTCAGCGTGTCAGGGTTGAGGATGAGGTTATCTGCATCCACAAACTGCAAAACAACCAGCACGGCATTAGTGTGGGCCCCAGGGTCAGGCTGCAACTCAGAACGGCTCAGGCAAAGGCTGGGCCCCTGGTGGGGGACTGGGGACGGAACAAGCTGCTGGATCTGGGAGCCCCTAGGCCTCACAACGGCGGTGCATCTCTGCCCTTTGTAGCGAGCTGTGTTATTATCCTCACACCATAAGGGAAAAAGCACAAACCACAACTACACACCGCAACAAAAACAAGAACTCGTTATCAAGAGAGTCCCCGATGCTTGGTGACTGTGTACAACGGAATGAAATGGTCTTGCACCAGCCCCATAATGGAGTACAGGTCGGATGATCGTGATCCACAGGATTTTCACTGGCTTGTTTTTGGAGGTCAATCACAGGCCTTTCTTCCTGGTCTTAGCCTGGAAGCCCCGCTGAAACATGTCGGTATCCTAGCAACACACAAGCCTCTGGTGACGGACGGGTGGGGGCTGTGAACACCTGAGTCTCCTGCGTGGAAGGCGAGAACTGCATCGCTGAACTACCACTGCCTTTGGCCACACAAATGCACAGGCTGCACCCTGGCGAGGGGCACTGGACACAGGCAAATACAGGATGTGACTCCACTTACGGGACATTTAAAAACAGGCAGCAAACAAGCTACAGCTTATGAAACGAAGTGGGAACCAAGGATCTGATAAGGGTTTAGTGTCCAGAATACAGGAAGAGCTCCTACAACTCAACAACAAAAAGACAAACAACACAATCAAAACTAGGCAGAAAGTTTGAACAGATATTTCTCCAAAGAAGATGTGCAGATGGCCTGTGAGCACACGACAAGACACTCTCATCCTAAGTCGTTGCTGCTGTTGGCTATCACTGAGTCAGTTCTAACTCATAGCAATGCTACGTACAATGGAATGGAACACTGCCCAGTCCTGCACCAGCCCCAAAATTGTTGCTATGTTTCAGCCCATTGTTGCAGCCACTGGGTTAATCCATCTCGTTGAGGGTTTGAAGGTCTTCTTTTTCACTGACCTCTACTTTACCAGGAAGCCCTGGTGGCGTAGTGCCTAAGGCATTTGACTGCTAACCAGAAGGCTGGTGGTTCAAACCCACCAGCCACTCCTTGGAAGGAAGGTTGGGGAATCTACTTCCGTAGTGATATCACCTCAGAAACCCAAGGAAGGGTCGCTATGAGTTAGGTCAGACTCCAGGGCAGTGGTTGCATTGCGCTTTGCCACCTCACCAAGCATGATGTCCTTCAACAAGGACTGGTCCCTCCTGATAACATGTCTGAAGATGTGAGATGAAGTCTGGTTGGCACTCCTTCTAAGGAGCTGTAGTTCTTCCAAGACAGGTTGGTTTGTTCTTCTAGCCCAAAGCCAAAAAAACCCCATGGCTGTGGAGTCGGTTCTAACTCAAAGCAACCCTACAGGACACAGGAGAACTGCTACATAGGGTTTCCAAGGAAGCAAGCTGTCACATCCTTCTCCTACAGAGTGGCTAACAGGTTCAAACCGCTGATGTCCAGGTTAGCAGCCAAGGGTACCCCAGGGGTGCTGTTCTTCTGGCAGTTTGTGATATATTCAATGATCTTCACCAACACCACAACTCAAGTACATCAATTCTTCTTCAGTCTTTCTTATTCACTGTTTAGCTTTTGCATGCATATGAGGCAACTGAAAATACCATGGCTTGTGTTAGGTGCACCTTTAGTCCTCAAAGTGACATCTTTGCTTTTTAACACCTTAAAGAGTTCTTTTGCAGCAGATTTTCCCAGTGAAATATGTCATTTGATTTCCTGACTGCTGCTTCCATGGGCATTAATTATGGATCCAAGTAAAATGAAATCCTTGACAACTTCGATCTTTTCTCCATTTATCATGATGTTGCTTATTGGTCCAGTTGTGAGGATTTTGGTTTTAAGTTGAAATATAATCCAAAGGGAAGGCTGTAGTCTTTGGTCTTCATTGGTAAGTGCTT